ATCATCTCGGATGGAAATTCACCAGTGATGTACTGAGGCCGAAAGCTTTCTATGGTTTGGCGAAAAACAGTTTCAAAGTAATTATCCACAAAAAACCGTCTTCTGATCATGATCACGATCTCTGGCGATGCGAAAGAAACACATTTACTAACGACTACATACATTTATAAGCAGGTAGGCTGAATTTAAGATTGATAAACGAAACAGGTTGATGAACTGCATTTTTCAGTTAATAATAAAAGGTAGTTTCGTCAATAGTCATTATATGACCCAAATTCTACGATACTTTTTCATATGCAGGTGAATCCTCATTTATTTCTCGGTATGAATATTGATTTATGGTTTTTTTCTTCATTTGATTTTCAATCTTTGAAAATATATGTGATTCATGTACAAATATGTATTATAGAGAACAAAATGTGATTTATGTTTGAATAAAATAACGTTACACAATAATAGTGTCGTCTCTAGAAGCTGTGTGAATTGCGAAAACATTATTTTTCTTTCTTGACCTTAACAATATTCAGACGATTTCGAAATTATTTGAAACCTATTATGAATGTGGATATTGAAAGGACACAATATACAGTGTGACCCATTTAAGACCGGAGCACCCTCATAAAATCTATTGTTGTTGACCAATTTTTTGTTTTCGTTTCAGCAGAAGGACTATCCGGAGATCTATGTTAACTCAAATTTGCAAAATAAAATTTCAATCTACAGGGTATACTATATTATTTTTTTCATGTTGAAAATTGCGAAATATCATTAGCGATTTTTTTCAAAAAAAATGACCCCACTACTGAATTCAGCATCTTTCAATCAGGTTGGGCGCGAAATTTCATTGAAAAATTTCAATCGGCAACAAAGTTACAACAACATTAATTTTGATGGCTCACTATTTTTTATCAATATTTCAGACAAATTCAGAAGCGGCAACATTGTCAACACAAATGTTGGCAATCATCGAGGTTTCCGGTATACATTTGAATTGATAACACAAATTATTATCCAGTTATAATCTCTAGAATGGTACCCTTTTAGAATGAAGTAATGATGTCGGAAAAACAGCTTTTCACAATAATTCAATTATCATATTATATAATACCACAAGTGATAATATTTTGCCGGAAATATTCGGTGATTGTTACGACAGCTTGTTGCCTAGTAATTTCGTGAATGACATTGTTATCAAAACTACGAGCCGTAGGCGAGTAGTTTTGGATCAATGTCATGAGCGAAATTAGAGCAGCAAGCTGGAGTATGTCAATCGACGAATATTTCCAGGAAAAATAGTATCACGAGTTGTATTCGTATGACTATTTCATGATTGAATGAGACAAATATAAGAAATAGGAAACATAATTTAAGTATATTCCCACTCGAACTGCGAAGAACATAATGATAGTAATGAAATACAGAATTAACTTTTTTGGGAATTAACTATATACTTATAGTTATTCACAAAGTGGAATGTACAATTTTGATAAACAGTATTTTTTTTATTATCTTGGAGATGGTTGCTCTCAAAAGAGTGTATACAATTACTATCCAATTCAAACAAAATAAATTGAATTTATGTGACATGGAATAATTAAAAAAAAAATATCGTCGCCGAGGGCTCGAACCATCGACCTTCGTATCCTCGCGCAACAACCCTAACAGTTGCGCTACATCAGCTAGTAATTATATCAGTCAGTCACAATAACTTGAGTAATTGAAGAAGATTACTTCAAAAAGGAATTTGAATTCTATTATTATTGTGTCAGACCGTCAACAAATATGCAAACTTTTTAAATTACACATGAAACGTCCAGCCAGAATAAAATTGTCTCGCCTTTCGTACAAAATATCTCACTAACGCGAATTATAAGTAAATAAAATAAAGTAGGAACTTAGGTTATTGTCTCAGATTTGAATCCAAAGCAATCTTGACCAGACACGATGTCAAAATTTTATCGCTGATTAACGAGGTTAGTTGGTCACTACCAATACAGAAGCCGAATTGAAGGCTTCTGTATTGGTAGAGCAAGTCCGATAAAATTTAATAAACAAAAAATATCGCTAGAATACAGAAGAAACCATGAAAATGGTCGATTCTGATTGGTTCTCGAGATCAAGAGTGGAATAGTCAATATAATCCAACAATTTCTGAAAGCTCTTGATGTTTTTGGCTTCTGATATTATCTTACTATACAGACTATCCGATTTTCTTTCTCTAATTACTTGGATGAACAAGGCCGATTTTTCGACGTTATGGATTTTTCATTTTATTCCATTTTAGATGTTATAACTCGATAATAATTTGTGTTATGAATTCAAATGTATACCAGAAACCTATTGATGATTTCCAACATTTGTGTTGACAATGTTGCCGCTTCTCAGAATTTGTCTGAAATATTCATAAAAAATGGTGAGCCATCAAAATTAATGTTGTTATAACTTTGTTGCCAATTGATATTTTTCAATGAAATTTTGCGCTCAACCTAATTGAAGGATGCTGAATTCAGTGATGGGGTCGATTTTTTTTTGAAAAAATCGCTAATGATATTTCGCAATTTTTAACATGAAAAAAATAACATAGTATGCCCTGTAGATTAAAATTTTATTTTGCAAATTTGTGTAAACGTAGATCTCCGGATAGTCCTTCTGCTGAAACAAAAAAAAAAGAAATTGGTTAAAAACTATAGATTTTATAAGGGTGCTCCGGTCTTAAGTGGGTCACACTGTATTTCAGACGACATAATTTCGAAAAATTTAGTTTATTTTGTACAGAATATACAATTATTATAATATTTTACAATGATTAATGATAACAAAAATAAATATTTGGTAAGTATCAGAGAATCAGTGGAGCGAAAAAAATAAAGCAAAACTAAATTATATCATATTATATACATGATTGCAACTGAAGTAATAATAAATACATGTCTTGCTTGTATCAACCTAATGATCCTTTGATAGCCATATATACAGGGTGGTAATCTAAGATAAATAACACAATCAGTCAGATTCCCTAATTAAACAATGAATTCTTGACATCAGGAGTAGAAAATCAATTTATGGCTTTCATACCAACTATTTTATCTTACAACATATGTTTTTTATATCTATCAGTTTTCAGATAAAAGAAAAGTTTCAGGTTGACATGAGTCATACCATCATTAGTTTATAAATTAATAGTCACCATTCAGTCTTTCATTCAACATTTGGTATTGATTCCATGAATAATCCAAATTAAAAATTGATCCTCGATCCCACATCCCACATAAATAACCGTTTCCCAACTAAATAAACAACAAAAACATCCTGTCAAATACCCAAAATACCACAACAATATTCAGGAATGCCAAAAAATACGTATTTTAACTACTATCAAGATGCTCCTGGGTAGAGCTGAAAGATGAATGATAATGATTTAAATTGATTAGTATCTTTCGGGATATAGTCTAGAAGAAATGACATTGAGAGTGATATGAACATTTTCTGATATCCTATACAATGCGTTCTTAGTTTATGTTGAAAACGCTCCCAATTTGGCAACCCTGTCATATCATAAGTTTTATCATCAGCTTTGATGCCCGCCAGTGTTTCATAGTCAATTTTTGTGAAGTTATTATTCATATGACGTGAATAATATGTTCACACATTTGCTTGTAATTTACACAGTCTAGTTGAGGGATAGTCGAATTACTTGTTGATGTATTTTTAAAATGATAGTCCATCATGACAAAAATCATATTTCCGTATAGGGCAAAATTACGATCCGGGCTCTTACGAAACTTGAATGAGAACGCGGTGAAATGCTTTGGAAAGAGGATTAGCAAGCCAAGAAGGGGACGAAGAAAAAAATCGGGAAACAAACCAAATGATTTAAAAATAACAACAATTTGATCTTCTTCTGAAACTCATCAATGGCCGGCTTGTACACATTTGCTCTCAATTTACACAGTCTAGTTGATGAGGGATAGTATAATTTACTTGTTTAATTGCGAAATGAGATCCCTTAATGACAAAAATCACATTTTCCTATGGGGCAAAAGTACGTTATGGACTCTAAACCTTTGAAAAGAGAATTGGCAAGCCAAGAAGGGGAAAAAGAGAAGCCAACACAACGATTGAAACAAAGAACGACAATTCGATCTTCTTCTTCTGCCAATCTGCCCATTGATTGGATAGCAGGTAAACATCTAGGGAGTAGGCTAGTTAGTATATAGTCAAATGCAAAGAAAATGTCGCGGTTGGATGGTGTTAGCGCTCTTATTGCAAGGGACTAGAGGTGTTATCACCGCCCATAAGAGACATATTCGTTGCATCTGACTGTACAGTGTGTCTTAGCTAAAACTTGTCACCTCCAAATCTCCGATGTCGTTAAAAAAATTGAAAATCGCTCGGACAGGTCGATTTCAATGTGTCCCCCACACATTTTTCTGCAATTATCATATGCCAAAGTTGAAATCTTGAAGCATAACGAGCATCAACTCTCGATTTTCAATTGGAACACCGTATTTCATTGCATTTTTAGAGTCTCCTGAAGAGCTGCTTTCATCAACGTAGCACACTTGATGTCTAGCGGGAATGATTACAGAGATATAGGGTGTTCAAAATCGAGATTTATTCAACTTAAGGATTTTTTCGTGTGGAAACTATTCATTATTGGTCAGAACGACTCACATTTCTACATCTTAACTTTTGATTCACTATCTACTGATATTTAATTTACCCACCTGTATTCGTTCAAATTAAATATCAGTAGATAGTAAATCAAAAGTTGAGATAGAGACATGAAAGCCATTTTGACCGATGATGAATAGTTTCCACACAAAAAATCTTGAAGTTAAAAATCTCGATTTTAAACACCCTATATCTCTGTAATCATTCTCGCTACACAGCAAGTGTGATACATTGATGGAAGCAGCTCTTCAGGGAGAATCTAAAAATGCAATGAAATACAGGGTGTTCCATTTGAAAATGTCCCTTATACGCTTCGCGTCAAATTGAATTCGACCTGTCCGAGCAATTTTCAATTTTATTTAACATCGGAGATTAGGGGGGGTGACAAGTTTTAGCTGGGATACACTGTACATATAGCGGTAAATTCGAATTCGTCAGCAAACCTGCAGATGTGATCCGAATGAGTATTTTCTTCAATGAGTCACTTCAAACAAAAAGCCGGTACCGAGACCAATGTAATTCGGTACAAAATAGAATTATACAGAAAGTATTCCAATGTCTCAAATGTAAGCCAAATTTTGGCATTGGTCTCAATTCATTATTTATGGTCCAATAGAGTTTTTGAGAACAAATGACGATTTTTGTAGGTAAATATTTGTATTAAATCATAGAACTAATGTTTCAGTTCATCAACATCTGTTGTTTCTAATAATATTCGAATCTTAGGTGAGTACTTTTGCCCCATGCTACTTTATGATAAATTAATTTCATCCAGTATATTCACCAAGATTCACCTCAATGTTTTAGCTAAAAATTGAATCCATGTGAAAACATATTTTTTCAAGGTTTAGGACCGGTTGCATAATACATTTAGAGATGATATCCCCCCCGCAACATATGTCCATAAAGATGGGGTATATTGTTGAATAATTATTCAACATATGCTTTTTCGCAGCCTTATTTTTTGTGTTACTTGTATCACAATAAACTGCTCAATTCTTTGAACAAGCCCTGTTTTTTGTAACCACAATGAAAGTGCCTGTTTCAAAAATTACCACAGCGCATGTGCACACCACGATTGTATGCAAAGTAGGTTATCTTGATACAAATAACACAAAAAATGAGTCTGTGAAAAAGCATACCTTCTTTTAACAAAGGTATCTTTTTTTTCAAATTTCAACATGAACCAATTTGCATGCATTTACTAATCGTTCGAATTAGTGATATTTAATGTGAATAAATGGTAATTGAATATATTGGACAAACAGGTCGAGACATAAGAACAAGATTTGAAGATTTGCTCATTTTTGATATTATAATTGGAAACCAACAATTAGGCTCATCCTTATCCTTATTCTCAAACTGTACAATTTACATTGAAAAAGTGTTCATTCAAGTGAAAAGCACTCACTGATCCATGAAATAATGGAAATAGGATATCGCCAATATCGCATATCATTCTCGATGGTATTTCCTGGAGGATATCCTGAAAAATATCAAGGATTCAGCTATTCTTCATTCCCGTTCCAGTTCTACTCTAAGGGTGTAACTTAGTTGCCAAAATACATACTCAACTATTCCAAATTATTATGGTTTTCCAGGTACAATTTTGCCCCACTTCACTAACACCCTGTATAAAATGTGAAAAAAAAATCAATATTGGCACAACTCGAGTCACATAATCAGTCCTTAATCTACCACGCCCCTCCACATCCTTAAGGCGGCGAATGCGTCCTATTCGATCTGTTATTCCTATTATTCCTAAAACTCCTCCCGTTATTATTCCTGCCGTGAAAGCCCCTACCCCCTCTCCTCCTCTCCCTATCGAACCCCCTTCCCCCACCCCGGTGACCGTTCTCCGCAACATAAAACCCCTCCTGGGGCGGCCCGAACCCCTCCTGGGGCGGCGGAAACCGCCCGAACCCCATAGGTGCGTTGCCCAGCAACCCGCCGTTGCGCGGATCGAAGTTGATGGGCGCAGCGAAGGGGGCGGGGCCTAAGAGCCCCATCGCGGGTGGCTCGGTAGACAGCATCGAGAGGGCGGCCGTTATCCCCGCGGGCGGCGCTTGCCCGCCCGGAATGATGTCCAAATTGGTCAGAAGGTTGTTCAGCACGGGGTCGTGCGAGTTGTTCGCATCGCTGCGCAAGCTCAGCTCCTGGTTGAGCAGCATCTTTTGCTGGCCCGTCAGGCTCATGTAGAACGCCGAGCTGCGCAGCATCGTCAGCTGCTGGTTGTAGCTCATCCCGGCTTCGGCGACTTTATTCGCCTCCTCTACTTTGCGCAAGCGCGGGTCTACTCTGACTCCCGAAGACCCGGCTTTCGGACTGGCTTTGGGACTTAGGGGTGTGTCGCGTTCCTCGATGCTCAGGCGGAAGATTTTTCTGAGGCGGGGATCGCCGGTTTTTTCGGCGTCGTTTACGCTGAGCTTGAGGCCGGTGTAATCGGGTCGGGGTATTTCGACGGTGGCGACCCGCCACGGCATCGGCAGGTGGGAGTTTAGGCTGGCGTCGATTTCTGAGGCGGGGGTGTAGTTTTGCATGCCCTTGAAGGGGAGCTGGAGGTTGCGCAGGTCCACGTCGGAGCGCATGCCTGAAAGGGAAATGTATTGCTTTATCCGATTCCTTGAAGGAGTGCCAGTATTCGCGGTCGCCAAGTTCATTAGATGATGTTGCGATGACATTCAAAACTACGGGAAACTAGAGTTCCTAAATGTACTGCTGTTTTGACGTTTTTTGTATATTACGGACACTATGACAAGCACTGACAATCAGACATAACCACAAATAGGTTGATGAAAAACGCGGGAACTGGCAGTACACGGACGTACATGACATAAATTCCAAAGGTTTGACAAATGGAGAGTTTGTACAGTTTCCAACTGTTGAGATGTTCTGCAATCACATTTATTCGCTTGTTCACTTCCGGAGCCGTTTTTCAATGTCATTTAGAGCAAGACACAATTTACTTGGAGCGTTCTGTAATTTGACAGCCAGGAAAAAAATAAAATTGTTTTGCTCGCATTATTTATTCAGAGGAAGTAGATATATCTCAACTTTGACAGCTTTTTGTTGAATGACAGGTATTGATTATTGGAGTTTGAGCTCTGGTTCCTGGTTCGGTTTGAATCATTGAATCTTATTGAATTAATTCCATTAGTATAAGCACAGTAGTTACTCTCGCAGTTTGTATAAGCCAAATATGAACGAAGCTAGTATAGTTTACACAGAAACAGGCGTGTCCAAATCGGTGAGAAATCACAATTTTTATTTTCTACTCACATAACTAAAATGGCATTTAGCGTACGGATATGTACCACGCTAAATGATCGATTAATCACGAATTGACGATCTGTGATTTATTCGAAATATTAAACACGTTACCATGGCAACACGATTTCTTAAACACATTACCATGGCAACACAGTTCATTAAACACAGCTTCAGTTTTAGACATGTCTGGCCTGTCAATTGTATCAACTGTCAACTGTTATTTTCAAATTTCGTATCAGAATTATTCAAACAATATTCGTTTGTATCAGAATTATTCATTAAAAATATATGCGAGATGTAGACGAACGTGAAATCGAAGAGAATGTTCTGGTACTTGCATATCTCCAAGAAGCGTAAAAATGAAGCATCCATCTTTGAGAAAAATTCATTCATTCTGCGCTAAGCATGACATATAAACGTGAAACAAAGGTTAGTAAGCAATGGACTGAACACATCTACAACCAATATCACGTATTCGTGTCTCGCTGGTTGCATGCAATCGCATGTATTATGTTCTCGATTCCCATTCCTTTCGAATTATTTCGTAGGTTAGCAGGAATAGCAGGTATGTTAAAGTAATTTTCGGAGTTCGTAGAAAAAGCATAGTATGTAACGCGTTTATAAACTCTTCTAGACACTCGTTTATTAAACACTCGCTCCGCTCGTGCTTAAAATACTCGTTACTAAAAGGACGTTTATAACACTTGTTACATAATATACTATTGTCATTGCAGTAGTAACAATGATTTGAATTTTTGAAGGTGAAAGTTATCAGTATATGTTACTATAACTGATCAAATGAAGCGGCAGTTGGGCCTTCAAACAGAATTTACACTACAAACAACTTATGCTGCTGATGCAAGTAGTTCTACTGGAATGGAAAATAACTCAGAAGACACTAGCAAACTCTGGACACATGAAGTAATAATGTTACTTATTGATCTCATGAAAAAATATGAATTATTAGTGTAGAATCAATCATGAAGTTTCAGCAGAAGTATTTCAAAGGTCTCTGGAAGGAGACGAAAATGTTCTTTGTATTGTCTGTCATTGAAATTATACACGGTCACTTCAGCAAAATTCTCTTTATTTTCTAGAACAGCTGCTTCTTCATCATCTTCATGGATTATATCAATCATAAAATTGATCACAATATTTATAGCAACACCAAAAACATTATTTACATCCACTTTCAAGTAAAGTTTTCAGTAGATGACATGATCGACATGATCGATAATCAATTCATGTCGGAGCATGTATGTCACTCACGACTCCTCTAGGAGTGTTCTTTTATTTTATTTATCTGTATGCTCCAGAGGTCACATGACTGAAAATCTTCTCACTCTCACTCTGCTCTTAGATGCGATTACAGAACATCTCATGTGATAACACGGGAAATCAATTCACTCTATTCGAATTTCCATCGGATAACGTAATTCTACAAAAATGGAAACAGAGTATATGATGTGGACGGCATGGAATATAGGTTCAGGTCACACAATTTGCGAGGTATTCAACGCATTTTTATCAGGTGCACTTCAAAACGGAAGATTTGTACTCAACAAAGGGTATATGTCGAGTCAATTTAACTTTAGAATGCACTGGTTTCTTAATAGAAGAGTCAGGATTTAGTAGCCAGTTCTGCTGACCATAATGTAAATGAATGGATAGAACAATTCAACCAATTATTGTTTATTATCTTGGGGAAAATGGAATGAATGAAATGATTCGCTTCTATTCTTGCAGTTTTCAACTGCACAATCGGCCATTTTAATTTTTGAAAAACTGAATTTTCAAATAATTCAATGTCATGTACACTCGTCTTGAGTGATCATGTCGCACATGGAAGGTGTCAGCTTCCTTGATCACCGCTGTAATGAGAGCGCCCATATCGTCCAACTGCGACATGTTTTCTGAAGACGAGTGTACGTTCGTGAACTGTCAGTGCCCGCCAAATTGGTCATGTCATTTCAAATTTTTTAGGGTTATGCCTTCTGTCACTACTTGTCAAAGTGTCCGGACTCTGATTACAACAGATCTGTCAAATACAGGGACTCTACGGGAAACATCCTAACTCCTGGCATAGATTGATAGTTACTAGACATATTTTCCCGTAGTTTTTAATGTCATCTAATGATCTTAGCGACCTCGAATTGAAACAAAAGATATACGGGGTGTTTCGAAATTCAGTATCAAGATCTCAGGGGCTTATTTTCCAGGTCAAAACAAGACTTTTTTCGAAATATTTAGAGGTTACGTTTCTGGGCCCACTATATATTATGGTATGCCGAATGATTGTTACAATCTACAGGAAGATATTTTTGCAGGGGACAAGCCCATTTCCGCTCCGTAAAGATACAAAATGAATTCTTCCTTTTGTTCATAAACTTTTTTCTACAAACGTCAAAAAATGACAAGGTTCTCGCATTGATAACAAATTGCGAAGTGACACTTTTTTTCAGTTTCCTACGTTACCATGATACCTTGCACAAAACAATGCGCGAAGTAAAGCAGTGTGCGAAGTACCTACTTCGCGCATTGTTATATAAAATATATGAGATATTTATATTTCAACTTTATGGTCCTCAATCGAGCAAACATCCAGGAAATCATTTATTCCTGAATGTTCAACAATAACTTTGTTGTATCTCATGGAGCGTACGAAAGGAAATTCCTATTATGTTTGTGGAACATCGTGCGTACCTAGGGAGGATAGGGGGAGGCTTTTTAGCCAGTTCAACACTATTTTTCATATCGAGCTGAGCATATTTCCACTTTAGAACTATATTTTTTGACGTTTGTAGAAAAAAATTTGTTTGCAACTCGAGCGCGAAATACTTTGGTCATCTCGACTATTTTTTTAACGAGGCGCCGCCTCGTTAAAAAAATCAGATCTCGATCACCAAAGTAGCATTTCGCGCTCTAGATACAAAAATAACTTTTCTGTCACTCATTACTTTTACGCATCTGCGACAGGTATCGAGAACAAAAATTTGAATCATTTTTTGTAATTTGTTGGAGTGAAAATGGGCTCAACTCCTGAAAAATTATCTCCTTGTAGATTCTTAAAATCATTCGGCGTAACTGTGCAGTTGTAAACCCTAAAACGTGACCTATGATTCAAATTTGATCATTGATATCTCTAAAACTGAAAGATTTACCTATTATAGCTGGAGGAAAAAATTAAAAAATGTTAACGCTCCGTAGATCAGTTATAAAGCGTTTGCGGACACATGTTTATAAGCAAAAAATGTATTTTGACCCGAAAAATGGGCACCTGAAATCTTGATACTGAAATTTGAAACACCATGTTTCTTATTTGTTGCGAACAGGGTCCCGCCAATTTCATCGGAAGTATTGCATGTAAGAGATAGAAAGTTGATCATATCAGAAAAAAGTTGGGTAAATTGGACCTATTCAATATACCGTTTTGTAAACAGAAAAGTGCAGCTGGTCTGAAGTACATATTTCGAAAAAAACTGAAAACATTTTATTTTATTCATATTCTTAGTAAATATTTGAGGGAGAAATTTGAAGTTTGTGTAATCAGATAGTTAATAATAACAAAGAAGTTGAAATTATCAAAAATATTCTATCTTTATTAGTTTTAAAGATTCACTAAGTAACTTGTTTTTCTAATGAGCGCCATAATTGTTTCAAAGAAAATTCATACACCTTCAACCGAATATATCCCAAGTTTGGTAAATAATACCTTCAATTGTTATATAACTTAACTCACCTCTAATATCGATGTCATCTTCTGCTATCGATGCATTTCTATCTATGCTGCCCTGTTCGTAAATGCTCAATTTTTCAGATTTCACTTGGGTTTCGGTTGAACTGTTTCTCGACCTTTGTCTGGGATCGGGAGCTGTCAATCTGGGATCTGCCCGAGGCGAATCTTTTTGCTCATGGGACATTCTTGGGTCCTTTACAAAAAAAAATTATAATTTGTAATTCTCGGCATAAACTGTTATGACAGTTTTTCATACACTATGTAGTAGTTTTCAATGTCATCTAATGATCTTAGTGACAATTTGTAATTCTAGGCATTCTTCATTTCTGACCAGTATGGGTTATCATAAACTGTTATGATAATTTTTCATGCACTATGAGGCTCCGTTAAGGGTAAACTGAATGATTTGATAGTTTGATATGTTTTCCCGTAGTTTTTAATGTCATCTAATGATCTTAACGACAATTTATAATTCTAGGCATTGTTCATTTCTGACCAGTATGGGTTATCATAAACTGTTATGATAGTTTTTCATGCACTATGAGGCGCCGTTAAGGGTAAACTGAATGATTTGATAGTTTGATATGTTTTCCCGTAGTTTTTAATGTCATCTAATGATCTTAACGACAATTTATAATTCTAGGCATTGTTTATTTCTGACCAGTATGGGTTATCATAAACTGTTATTACAGTTTTTCAGACACTATGAGGCGCCGTTAAGGGTAAAACTGAATGATTTGACATAACTCTTTTTCAATTTTTTTTTAATGAAGAATAATTTCAATTTTATTTAGATATGCGAAATAACTATTTTTTTAAAACCTGTATATTCCGAAGGAATTGATTGGTTTTCTAATTTCAAGAGAAAAATGTACAAACTTATATTGAAATAATAACCTATTTGATAAAAGGTATTCAAAGAAGCCATCTCGGCATCCTTAACAGGATTTAGCATTTTTAGATTTTTTGATTTTTATGTTGTTTTTGTCACCCTCTGTTATTTTATTAATGTTGTTTGTAATCAACTTCCTCATAACAGAATTTTATTGACTGGAAGCTAGTTTCTCAATAAACCATAAACAACGCTTCCATTGACTGTGTATATTATCATTCTCATATGGTATTTTATTTGTCTCTCATGGAACTTCAAATGATGTAAAAATAGTTTCTTACAACAAATTACTGGAGAAATCTGTAACTCACATTTTTCTATCAACTGTCACTGAAAAGTGTTCATAGAAGTAAATGAAGAGACCACTTGCAAAGAAAACGTTTCAATTTTTATATTGAAAATAGGAGAAGGTTTCTAATAGTGAAATTTTCAAACGCAGTGGGATTTTGGGGAAAGTCATCTGATTTCTCCTTGTTACACATAATATATTGAAATAATACTCATATCTTTTATTATAGAAATATGGACAAAAAATCCCAGAAAATCTAGAGAAACGATATTTATAACTTTGCGTCAAAATACGGGACGGTGCGGGCAAAGGTTGTTATGTCTCCTCATTAGTGACAGATCACGTCTGTATACATTTTATAATGACCTATTGAAGTCTACTTATAAGCTATTGCAATCATGAAATCCGAAGTCAAAAGTCGAGATATCCTGGGCTATATGAAGGACCTTCAGATAACTGTAACAAATTCTCGGAGCGCTCTATTCAATTTCCCAAATCTAGCAAACTCTGTCACCGCACCGTTTATGATAGATTTCACGGAACTCTTGAACATGTCTTATTTATTTCATAGATGAAAACCCAAAGTCTTATTATTAATTTGTCCTATTCTCTCTGCTGTCAGACCAAACAATCGGGTCGATTCTGTTCGGATTTTGTTATAACATTGCTAAGATAATAATATTGTTATGATCATAACACATTTGCTATGAAGTTCTGTATTCTGTTTGCAGAATAACTGCAAGACTGGTTATAAGGCAATAATATTTGTTGCTCCGTAAGAGAAATCAAATGTGGTGTACCACAAGGTTCCGTTTTAGGTCCAATTTTATTCTTAATTTACATCAATTCAATATCATCTTTGAAACTAAAAGGAGATCTGAAGTTATTTGCAGATGATACTACAATAATCTATTCCTCTAAAGAATTTAACGATATAGTTGATGATATAAAAAGTGACTTGAAAATGATATCATCTTGGCTACAAATTCATAAGCTGACCCTCAACTATGACAAATCTACGTATATGTATATTTCAAAAAGAAAAACTGATATGTCGAAAACAACAATATTTTTCAACCAGAAAGCCATAAAATATTTAGATATTACAAAATTCTTAGGTCTTTATATTGATGAACAATTATCGTGGACTAAACATATAGATCACCTGAGAAAAAAGCTCAATCCAATTACTGGCATTTTATACAAAATTCGAAATTTCATTCCTCTTAGATATTTGAAGAATATATATTTCTGTCTGATTTACTCAAAATTACAATATTTAATATCAATTTGGGGAAGCACAAGTATATCACATTTGAAACCATTAATGAAATTACAAAATAAAACAATTAAGTGCATTTACAATTTACATTACCTGGAACCAACTATTAATCTTTACAAACCAAAAAATCTGTTGAATTTATCATCTTTATATAAAATGAAAATTTGTTCTTTCATCCATTTTGTGAGAAAAAAAATAAAAATATCCAACTTGAACTTTACTGAAGTAAATACAATTCATACTCATGCAACGAGACAGTTGAATTCATTAATAGCAAACCCATATAACTCCATCATTGGCAAACAATCAGTATTCTACAACGGAATCATTTTATATAATTCATTAGGTACCTTATGATTTGAAACATATTGATGATGAAACAAGATTCAAAGTCAATATGAAAAAATATATACTCATGACACAATAAACGGAGCAATTTATTCTCATTTGAATACTTGGAATGGTTTTATTTTAATTATTATGTTATATTGACATAACTTGTTAATTAGTTTTTTTTTTTTTATTGTTTTATATATATATATATATATATATATCATATGTTTATGTATCCCTATTATAAACAAATATGTTTCTTGGGGTAATAAAGAACAACAAGTTTAAGTGATAGCAATATTGTAGAAAAATTGAGAATTTTTGAGCTGACAACACTGTTTTCAACTCATTGTTCAAGTGTTAGGTATCGATTTTGTCATTATTTCATGAAGAAGAAGAGTTCATGATTATCTAACCTCTCAATATAGTCAGTCCACTGACATTTTACAAAATTATATTGTTCAAATCGAGAGATTTTGTATTTGCTGAATCTGGTCGTCGTTGTGCGATTGGTGCAAGTAATCAATCATGTCCCCGCAATGAGAAAACTACTAAAAGCCGGATGAAAATAATCGTGATTTTTTTCAACATTCTAGCAAAATAGCTTGATAAACTATCCATCAGGCAACTGAAATTTCTCTAATATGCCGAAATTGTAGTCTCATATTTCCTCTACAAATTGGAACTTCAAGAAAAGGTTTTCAAGTAGTTGGTCACAGTAGTGAACCTATCCTATATGTTTGTAATCACCATTCTAAGTTTTTCAATAATTCTTCTAGGAATTGAAACTTTGAGGAAAGGTATTCAAGTAGTCAGTGACACAACTGAACTCTCATATGTTTTCAATCCACTATTTTCTGAATTTTCATACACTTGGAAGAATTTGTAGTGCAAAAACAAAGGATCCACTACCTTGTTATGAGATAGCAAGCACAAAATTGATGTTGCCGAAATAGCAAGAAAGCTGACCAGATGTCATTGAAATTGACAGATCATATTGCCAAAAATCGATGATTAGAATTCCACTTTTTCGAATCTTGCTATGATAGCAATATCTTCTCTACAACCATATTGCTATTTGCAAACAGAATCGACCCGAATGTATATTATTCGGAAAATCGAAACACTTTGAAACATTTTTTTCAAATGAAACATCCTATAAATTATTTGATTTTTGGAAACTCCATGGAAAGCTGAATTCACACATATTTTTCACATAGAGTTTGTATACAGTGCGTCCGTTGAATCAACTGCTCTTGCTTTAAGATATCTATATTTCTTGTTGAGCAAATAAAGGAAAAAAAATCTCACCTGTCTCGCCGGCCTCGGATCGTTTGCGGCCTTCGGCGACCCGGCCGGAGTGGTGGCGACCTCTGGTTTCGGGAACGGGAACTGGTTCTTCGCCTGGCTCATCGACGTCAGCAGCTTCGTCACCTCAGCCGAAATGTCGATCTTCGATAGATCGCCCAACTTCTCCACTACATCTTGCGGCTTGATCTGGCTGATTTGCGGGGGCGGTATCACAAGTGGTTCACTGAAAAAGAAACAAGACATTGATTGATTGATTGTCTTTATTACCCCAAGAGACATATCTGTTTGTAATAGGGTACATACGATACCTGTATATAGAGGACATTTTGATGATTCCAAATGACCCCCCATTGATATGTCTACCGTCTTTTATAACTGAGAACTGAGATACAGGACGTTATCTTGATTTTGGCAAAATCTTCATCTGGTCATAACTATTGAACCACTTTATTTAATCTATCCATACTTGGTAGAAATACTCCACTAATATTACTCATTAAAACTAAATAAAAATGGGGATCAGAATCCAGGTCCATCTTGAGAAAAAACAGAAATCTTCTTTAATTTCAAAAACAACACTGTGTGGCAAAATTGTGGAGATCTATTTCGATATTTTAAAAGAGCGGGAAAAAATGATTGGAGTGACCCACTTTTTACGAACGCGCATCTGATTTGGCAGATGTTTTATTCTTATTTTTTGAAATACTAAGCTTCATTTTGATGCATTTTTATTGAAATCTTAATTCAAAATCCAATTTTTTTACATGTTTCCAAAGTTCAACATCATCAGAGTCAAATTAGGTGAACTATCGATAGATTTGATCGTTTGGCAGAATATAACTTGTCCATGGTTTTAGAAATTTTTGAGTGCTCATTTAATTATTAACTATTAATCCATGAGCTGCGGTAAAGTAGGCTGTGCAAAAAAATGTGATATTCTGACAGTTCATAATCACTACTATGATATTATTGGTAACGTTTAGATAATGGGGGAGACCACTGATTTTTTGAAATGACATTATCGTGAACTCTATACTGAAAAACTATCAGCGAATTAATTTTGAATTTGTTCATTCATGCTAAGACGATAAAAATAATAAATTAGAATATGTCCATTTCAAAACACACAATTCCTGCGCCATTTGAAATTTTGTCAATTCATTGGTGTGACTGGTGCGACGTCTTATTCCCAACACGCCTATTGTCCTTGAACTGACCAATCACACTGCAACACTGCAGAATGACGAGGTATCAGAGAGAGATAGCTACAGTTCGGGACTAATACGTCACGACTCCACCATCATATTTGGCTGTTTGAAATATCGAATGGAATATGCTGATTTCAAAACGATATAGATTCGATTCCCTTCAACTTCAACTCATAATATTGATTGTACAACAAACGTAAATCATGATTCGTCGATTGAAAGAGGTTTGCACGGATTTCTTCTCTCAGTGGTCTTTCCCATTGTTGGTCCTTGTATTGGGTTGTTACATTTCAAAGTGTTCATAATTATGCCATAACACAATAACCTTAACATTACCAATAATATCACACTAGTGATTATGAACTGTCGAAATTTGGAATTTTTTTGCACAGTCTACTTTACCGCTGCTTAGGAATACATTGTGATGAAGAAGATGAGTCCTCGAAAATTTCTAAAATCATTGACAATATATTTTATTTCATTTTATTTTTTTTATCCATAGTTCACCTAATTCGACTCTAATGATATTGAACTTTGAAAACCTGTTATTTTTTGTATTGAAATTGGATTTTGAATTACGAATTCAATAAAAATGCCTCGAAATGGAGTATGAATAGATTATACTAAGTGGTTAAAAAATTATTACCAAAATCAAGATTATGTCCTGTATCTCAGTTATAAAGACGGTAGACCCATCAATGGGGGGTGATTTGAAACCATCAAAGTGTCCTCTATCTGCAAGTATCCTATGTACATTCAAGTCTGAAACACCCAGCAGAATAATGAATTTCTCTTAGTGGAAACAAATTCATACTTTTTCTTGAGATGAAAATGGGGAAGTTTCCAATATTGAGGTAAAGTTTGTGAAAATTGAAAAAACCGGGGTGTCCCAGATCTTTTTATACATCCCATACTCAGTTATGCTGCATGGAAAAAAATACACTCTTGTCAAACCCAAATGACTTTGAAGCCATTGTGTCAGAGTCAACTTCTGTCGAATTACCCCTGAAGAACCCCCAACCTCATTTTTTCAAGTTACACACTGCACATTTTTTGTTGATTAGTGAAGTGCAATCAATTTTAACTTCAGAATCGGCACCTTCATCGTCAAATCCTTGTTTCATCTAGTCAAGATGCGAATATTCAAATATAATCCTCATATTATGTGATTCTCAAGTTGTTATCTGCAGAAAGTATTCAATCCCGAAAATTCATTCCATATTCTGTCTGATTGAAGTGACATTCAGAAATATTCTTGTACTTGTCTATCAGAGAGTCACTGGATGGTATTTGTAAGATAAGAGTTCGGACACAGCTGAACTTTTGTCCTTTTCTATTTTCTATATTACAATGGTTTGAGTGAATAAAAGAATAAGACATATATTCTGCTCTTTGTCTTCTCAATTTCTCTACTAGCGCCTGATTGTCAGATACGATTTTAGAGGTTAGATTTTCTGTCAGATCAATCATTGTAGATGGAAAATAGAAATAGGGTATAAACATACCTACTTCAATTTATATAGCGATACACTTTTTGCAGAACAATAGTTATAAACATAAAAAGAATGCATGCAACAACATTTCAATATGACAAAATAGACACATATGGATATACTTACCGCAAGTTTCTTATTGTATGTAAAATTATACTCGAGTAACAAAGTGTAAAACATTAAGATTGCTTTAATTCTCCACCTTTTGCTGCATTCCCTTCTTGCTGATAAATTTTGAATTTGGTCGGTATTGAAAAAGCCATTCAATGATATCATATTGTCACATATTCTATGTTCTATGTCAACAACGTTGTAAGTCAATCATGTCAATGTCAAAGTGACTTCCTCCTCTCTCGTCACAAACATCCTATATGATAGTATCTATCTGAATCCTGAATCCACATCCTACCGACTGCGCCATGTGATATATCCTTTGTCTAGTTAGCAAGGATATCATTATTAGGATGTGCAATTTACTTGATTTCCTCAGTTTCGTTCTCAAATTTTCAATTCCATTTTGTAGTTTTGCAATCAATTCCTCTTCATGAGAATTTTGTTTTGCATTTCGTCTCATGACAATATTGGATTATTTTTCAATAGTCTGTTTGAAAATGGCCCAAAATATAGTTTCATTCCAATCTGCTATTATAAGAAGTGAATTTTAATGTATTTACTTATCTCACAAATTTCCCATGTCTTCAAATTAATTTTCCATCCAGGCCGTTTCATACATTCCTTCTATATAAAGGAATGGTTGATATTTCCTTTGGGAAATTGAAGAAATGAAATCGCCATTCCCTTCAAAATTCCCGCAATTCATTACACAGCAGGACATTTTCATTTATGCTTTTTTCTCATTAGTTTATGAAATTATATCTCAATTCTGACGTTCATAAAATTCGTTGTCAAATTCAAACAATTTTGAATGAAAAAGCGCGGAACGACTATGATGCTATTGTCACAATGCAAGATCTGTAACATAATAAATCTAATCATTCAAAAACACTAACAGTAGTCATTTCTGTGTCCATACTCTTATCTAACTAATACTAGAGTCACTGGATGGTATTAGGTTGATAAGAGTTAGGACACAGAAATGACAACGGTTAGGGTTTTTGAATGTTTAGGTTTATAAAGTTACACACCTTGCATTGTGACAAGAGCACCATAGTCGTCCCGCGCTTTTTCATTCAAAATTGTTTGAATTTGACAATTAATTTTATAAACGTCAGAATTGAAATAAAATTTCATAATTATTATACTTTCGAGATAAGAGCAACTATGGAAATCACTTGCTGTGTAATAAATTGTGCCAATTTTGAAACAAATGGATATCATTTATTCGATTTTCCAAATCAAATATCAAGCATTTGCTTATGGAAGGAAGATATGAAACGGCCTGGGCGGAAAATCAATTTGAAGACGAGCGAAATTTGTGAGGTACTCATTGAAATTCACTTCTTATAACAGCAACTGATTAGAATGTATCAATTTTTTAGGCCCATTTTCAAACAGAAGATTTCAAAATCTGTTTGAGAGAATCTGCTGCTCCATCAATTTACAAAGCAGACGATTTCAAGAACAAAATTCCATTATTATCATCACACAAAATACAAAACAAAATAATCATTGAAAAAGGGGAAATGATCGCAAAATTACATTATGAAATTGAAAATTTGAAAACCAAACTAAGACAAGCAAGTAAACTACAACGTGATATATTATTGAATGGCGTTTTTGGTGCTGACCGAATTCAAAATTCAACAGTGAAAAGTGAATACATATTTATGTATCAAGGGAATTATTATAAGGGCCTTAATTACGCTGGAGGTTATCGTTTTGGGGATATTTTCTATATCGATCCATGTTACTTTAAAAAACCAAGAATTTGGTAGGTCTCGTCAAAATAAATAACTTTTTTCCGATGAAATCTTTATCAAAAAATAATTTGTTTTCTGTATTTCAACACCCTAGCCGTATCTCCGAAATGAAGCATTTCCGGACACAAGCTTGTATAGCTCAGGAATACTTCACTGGAGTACAGTTTCACATACAATGAGGAATTATAGCTATAAGTTTATCCATATGTATATATTTTCTCATGTTAAAATGTTGTTACATGCATTTTTTTTATTTTTATAATAGTTGCTCTGCTAGAAGTGTATCACTATGAATTGAAGTGGGTGTTTGTACCCTATATCCATTGTCCATCTACGGCTATGATTGATTTGACAGAAAATATAACCTCTAAAATCGTATGTGACAATCAGGCGCTACTAGGGAAATTGAAAAGACGAAGAGCAGAATATATGTCTTATTCTTTTATTCACTTAAACCATTGTATTATAGAAAATAGAAGAGGACAAAAGTTCAGCTGTGTCCGAACTCTTATCAAACTAATACCATCCAGTGACTCTAACTTATACCATCCAGTGACTCTATGATAGATAAGTCGAATCTTATTATGGTGTTGTCGGATGATTAGATCACGCGTTTTCCCGCGTCTTTCATTTTGTGAATTTCAATAATTATTTTGAAAACTTACCGAGCTCTGACGAAAAAACAGTTTGCGACAATCAACTAGTTAGAGTTAGTACTTCGAAATAATGAAATATCAGTGAGAAATTTCATTTCATCAAGTGTCAAATACCTGGTATCCATAGTTTCGACCGCTTCCTCCTTCTCCTTGAAATCATCCTCGACCTTGATCGTCAGCCGATTGTCGTCATCGTCATCGTCGTCCGAATACCAGTTGATATTATCCTCCACCTGGAACTCCTCCTTCGGCTCGCTCTCCACGAAAACCTCCTTCTGCTGCGTCTTTATCCTCATGAACAGATCGCGATGCGTCCTCGGCAAATCCATGGGCAAATCGATCGACATGCCGGGGCACTCTTTCTCCTCCCCCGTATCGATTCGCAGCATGGGCTCTGTTTCGTTGTCCTCTTCGAAAGTTTCGCCCGTTTTCGACATCTGTCTGATGTCGATGTCTTTGTTGGCCGATAGGGGATGCCTTGATAATAATAATAAGTTTAAATACTGTCCGTAGGTCAATCCAGGAGGTGATATATTCTAGAGTGTCTCGGACATCTCAATTTACTGTTGTGAAGTTACACTTCACACCCCCTACGAGGTTAGCATGAATATACAGGGTCGCTGATATGTATGGAAACAGGTGAATATCTCAGTAACCTGTTGTTGGATTTTTTTGAATTTATGTACTGTGTGATTTCAAAACGTGGCAGATTTGAAAATGTTATAGCCAATGTTGCAACTGTTTCAGTTATACCGGATTTTTCATTAACTTCCTTATTTTGAATAGAACACCCTGTAATTTATTCGATTTTCAGATTCTCCTTGAAGAGCTAATTCCATCGATCTATCACACTTGGGGTCTAGCGGGAATGAATACATAGGTATAGGGTGTTTAAAATCTAGATTTTTCAACATTAGGATTTTTTTGTGTCGAAACTATTCACTATCGATCAAAACCGCTCCAATGTTCCCATCTCCACTTTTGATTTACTATCTACTGACATTTAATTGAAACAAATACAGGGTGGTTCAAGATTCAGAATTCTGATCACCCTCTGTATCTGTTCCAATTAAATAGTCAGTAGATAGTGAATCAAAAGTGAAGACAGGAACATTGGAGCGGTTTTGATCGATAATGGATAGTTTCTACACAAAAAAATCCTAAAGTTGAAAAACCTAGATTTTAAACACCCTATACCTATGTAATCATTCCCGCTCGACCCCAAGTGTGATAGATCGATGGAATCAGCTCTTCAAGGAGAATCTGGAAATCCAATAAAGTACAGGGTGTTTCATTCAAAATAAGGAAGCTACTAAAAATCCGGAATAACTGAAAAAGTGGCAACAGAGGCTATAACATTTTCAAATCCGCCACGTTTCGAAATCACACTGAACATAAATTCGAAAAAATCTAACAACAGATTGACGAGATATTCACCTGTTTCCATACATATCAGCGACCCTGTATATCAATTAATATATTCTATAATTTATTTCAGTTGCTTATTTAAGAAACTTTATTAATATTTATCAAATACACTTGTTACGAAAGATAACATGATGTCATATAATGTTAGGTAAGGCTCTATTTTATAGATATTTTCATGGACGATGCTCTTCTGAAATATCAACAATAATTGTTCCTCCCTTGGCAGTCCCCGCGAGATTAACCCCTTCGTGGTCACTTTGGAGACCTGCAGAACATCTCTTTACAAAGACTCGTTCATCCAACGAACAGCGAGGCTCTGGAATACATTACCAAGGGAGTTGTACCCCGAGGCATATAACCTCCAGAAATTCAAGAAGAACACCAATTCCCACTTTATTTCCCTTGGTTCTCACGATGTTCTCTGAACAGGATATCCCTTTTCGTGGAAACCAGAACATAAAAAAAGCAGCAGTGATTGGTTGAACCCGGCAAAGCGAGCCGGATTCGAATATCTTGAGGGCCGGTCGTGGCCTCCTGGTCTAAAGAGTTTATAAACGGAATCTCACCAGATTACAAACATTACAAAACAAAATCGCGAGAATGGTGACAGGATCTCCTTGGTATGTTCAGAATAACCAGATCGCCAGGGATCTGAAGTTATTAGAGAACGAAACATCAAGACTTTCGAAAAAGCTGAGGTTCATGAGAATCAGCTTCTTCGAAATGCAGTTGATTATGACCCAGGTGATCAATCAAAGTTTAAAAGACCGAGATTGTCCACAAACTAGAGGAAGTATCGACATTATGACCAAATTTACTATTCTCAAGTTTTTGATATTTATTTATTACGTTCGATACCGTTTTTATTTTGTTTCATAATCGATATCAGGATAAGAGGGACTCTTCCCTAGTCTGAATCGAATAAAAGAAAGATCCAATAATAAACAGAATCAAATAAAAGGAAGACCCAATATCTACCTTATGTCGACGTCTTGCCCTGGCGGGTACGGGTTGAAGGTCGATGGGCGGATGTCGACGTCTCGGGTGGCCGGGTTGGGCGGGTTGGCCAGCAGGCCGGCTTCGCGCTGATAGCGTTCAAGGTCGATCTCGGCGGGGGCGGCCGGAGCGGGCAGCTTGGGCGGCGAGCCCTTCGGCACGGCTAGCGGAAGGGTGCGCATGTCCACGTCGCCGTTGCTGGAATAGAAACGGGGTTGGGTCGTGTTATGTTCCTCGTATTTCCATATTCTCAGTTAAATGTTATAGATTAACATAGTTACCTTGGGAGAGATCAATTTTTTTCTACTTCCGTATTACAATACGCGAATTAAATATCTGCTGCTGAATTCCTAATATGATTCATTTTAACACGGATTTTCATTATTATACAGATTTTGGCCAATGGGTTGCGGGCAAGAACTGTCAGATGACCGTCCCTGGAGGCACAACATTGCAACACAACCTCTCTTTTCTTATTTGTTTACAAGTGATTGAACTTGTTTTTCACAATTATTTTGGCATACGATTCGTATTTTTCGGCTATTCATTATTTCGTTCATGCCATCACATTGTGCTGTTGTACAATGCACAAAAACTACAGCGGAAGATGAAGGAATCTGGTTGGTACATTATGATTTAAAAGTAAGTACCTACTATAGTCACTCACACATAGTTTTCATTTTTGAAATTCGGTAATTTCTGATTTCTCGGAATTCCTTCTACAATAGGAGATAATAGAAATAATCGTGAAATTTCTAAAAGAATGCAAGAAGATTGGATTCATGCAATAAAACGGAACGACTGGTCTGATATGCTGACGAAATATGATCGTGTGTGTTGCAGTCATTTCGACTCTATTAGCAGTATTAGCTTGTATTGCAGAAGTGGCAGAAGGAATTTTATCAAGGAATGATAACATTTCATATAGATAACCATGTGAGATTACTATTTCTGAAAAATCATATTATGCTTGAATTAATGCATAGCGCAAAAAACACGATTCGTATGCCAAAATTTTGTGAAAAACTATTTCAATCCTGTGAACAAATAAAAAAAGTGAGGTTGTGTTCCAATAATTCACAGAAGAGTGAGGTTGTGTTTCAATATTTTACCTCCAGGGTCGGTCATCCACAGAACTCATAACCTCTATATCTTACGACCAGAATGCGTATCCAATATGGCGGCCGAGCAAATCATGCATCAGCTGCAACACTGTTAGTGAACCATAAACAGTAGCGGCGTTTAACCTTCGTAATACTGAGTAATTCTAATACCCCTACATTACTAACTGGGGTATTTTTGTACCCCACCTTGTTTTCATATATATTTATGATATTTAATTTTATTATATGATTTGCACTTGAAAAATACACAAATAACAAATTTTGTCCAAATATATCAATAACTTTCATAGAGTATGCAGTACAAAATTAATACAAAATATAATAATTAACTTATGAAATAAATATTTTGCGATATGAATTATTACATGTGTCCGCAAATTTCACATTTGTTACGGTTTTCCAATCATTTTTCCGAGGACAAAGAGTACAGGGTATCCCAATTTGGGCACTTTTGCGGGGTATCTCCCTTATCAGTAAAGATAGAGCATTGCGGTTTTCGCGACAGTGTGCTACTTTTTTATGAAATTAATAATGGCGCAAGCAGAATTGTGATAGCTCTTCCGGTTATCGAGATAAAGGGTGGAATTGAAAAATATCATTTTTCAGTCTCAGTTATCTTTGAACTTATCGAAGAAGTTAAAACTTGTTTTTATAGAGTTTTTCTCGTAGAATCCAGTGGCGTAGTTATTTTTTTGCTAGCACCTTTTGTTTTTTAGTTATGGAGCAAACATATGTTTTTTTAAATGGAAAATAATTGTATACAATTATATATTTTTGGAAAGCCCACTTCATGCTCAATGTATATATGGAATAATATACAGGGTGTTCCATTTAAAAAAACATATGTTTGCTCCATAACTAAAAAACAAAAGGTGCTAGCAAAACAATAACTACGCCACTGGATTCTACGAGAAAAACTCTATAAAAACAAGTTTTAACTTCTTCGATAAGTTCAAAGATAACTGAGACACGGAGGGTGCCTGAAATGTGATATTTTTCAATTCCACCCTGTATCTCGACACCCGGAAGAGCTATCACAATTCTGCTTGCGCCATTATTAATTTCATAAAAAAGTAGCACACTGTCGCGAAAACCGCAATGCTCTATCTTTACTGATAAGGGAGATACCCCGCAAAAGTGCCCAAATTGGGATACCCTGTACAACGTCCAGATGTCCTTTCACCTGCTGGAAATAATGGACGACTACAAGACTCAGGATCGACCGTAACCATATGGTCACGAGAACACACAATAAATAACCAAACAGATTGGTATTTACACTATGAGAGTCAAAATCAATGTGAGCGAAAGAGATCCTACAAATCTGAACTCAAAAAAAGACAGGAATCAACTTTACTAGATTACTAACTGAGGTATTTTTGTTCGCCAGCTACTTTGAACGTCTGAAAATACTGAATGGCATGGTTTTTTCATTTGATATTTTATATAACGACTAGAAAATACATAGAAAAAGCGGAGCAGAGAGAGGATTATCGGATATTGATAGGCATAAAAAATTATCGCCATAAACCACGAAAAAATACCAATTTGGAGTACAAAATTACCCCACTTAGGTTAAATTCGTGGCGAAATGTAAATAAACGCCAGTGGAGTGTCTCGAAGATAAGATGAAAGTATTAGTGAATGAATTTTCGGAAAATCAGAAGATGATTAGAGTTTTCCAACGAGAATTTTTGATTTTAATTTCTTTTGCAGGATATTTAATGAAATTAATTTTTTTATGCCATTTGGAATCGTCGAATTCTTGCAGGTTTCTACTTTTCTCCATAAAGAAGTTGATGATATCGACTATGTTCAGTATTTTGTATAAATATTTTCGGAGATTTTGTGATTCCAAGTGATGCTGTTTTCTTTATTGGAAATGTTTTTAAACAAATATTCCCTATGATTTGTTCCTTGTAGCTTTGTGAAATTTCCATGCTGAAATTATGAGAATCATTCTAAAGAAACTCAAAAATGGAATGTTCTGATTGAAAAATAATGAAATATTTGAATGTAATTATCACTTCTGCTTCATGATTAACCGTTAATTCCAGTCAGAAACACCTAACAGTAAAGATTGCATTACCAAGAGTTCAAAAAACACTTGGTATTATTGAGTCCTAAGGTCAAACAGACATAAAAAAATATCATTGCTATTTATTATGACTAATGATGAAAAAAATTGTGTTAATATGTGAATATAATATGTTGTCTCTAAAATATAAAATGGTGAACAAATGTTATTCTTACCTGCTTATCCGCATGTCTTGATCTTGACCATAGATGAATGATTTGGGAGAAAATTCCTTTCCAACTGAAACCGGTTCGGGATCTTGCCATCTCGAAGGACGGTTTCTACTAGGCTTATCTCTATCTAATTTTCCTTTCATATCTGGAAAATGAATGTTTCCTTCAGTTTTATAAGATTATAAGAGACTCCCAAATACATTGTTTTCAATTTGTTCATATGACTGACGGCAAAACTTCAAAAATGACATTGACTTTCTAAGTTGTCAAATAGGAAATGCGTGAGCGTGAATCAAAAATGGAATGCTTAAATTGAAATAACGTAGAATGATATACAGAGTGTACTTCAATAAGTCCGAAAGAAAGTTAGGGGTGATTCTTCTTCATCTTTTATGATGAAAAGTTCATAGACACCTTTTTAACACCTGCTCCGTCAATATTCTCAATTAAATAGTTTTTTTTTTCAAATAATTACTCAAACGTCTTCCAACAAATTGCACTGAAACTGAAAAAGAGTTTTTTTTGGTATAATTAGATACGAAATAATAATCCCAGTGATGCCTTATCCATATTTATGGTAAATATCAATAAACGCCACTGTTATCATTCAATTTTTATCTCAGGTGAAGTCAGAAAGGTGCAATTGCAAAGGTTCAGTGGCTAGTATCATATAGATAGAAATAAGACAAGTTGGTGAAATTACATTGTCAGGTCCAACTATTATTTTTCAAATCACGACCATTTTTTTAGTAGTACTTTCAGATGAGAGAAAAAAAATGCATGCTCATTTTGTTACTACTGCTATACTTCTAATCCAGGACCGGACTGGGGCAATTTGGGGCCCTCAGGCCCTCTCCCCCGGAAATTTTCTGAAAATCAGGTGCTTGAAAACGCGGTTTTACGCTATTTTAACACTTACAAAGAAGAAGAAATACAGCTAGGTTTATATAAGAATATAATGATTTTCGACTTTCAGGATACCACAACACTAAAAAGTAGAACTGCCAATAATTACAAGGATGTTCAAAAGAAAGTGAATTATTTTATTTTCGATCACACACAAAGTATTAATGAATTTTGTCAAAATCAAAATCATTTGTGGAATAAATATAATTACAAACGGATTTTAGGGATTAGAAAAACAATACTAACATTTTTTGTGAATTAGGTGCTTGAAAACGCGTTTTTTATCGCTATTTTGGCACTAAAAAGAAGAAGAAATTCAGCTGGGTTTTTATACGAATATTATGATTTTTAACATTTGTTGACTTAATTATTCATTAAAATAAGGAATTTAAACTATTTTTATGCCTCAACACTACAAAACACATGCTGTAGAACTACCAATAATTAGTAATTACAATGGAGTTGAAAAGAAAGTGCAGTATTTTATTTTTATTCACACTAAAGTATTAGATAGGTAATCAATTACTTAGGTGCTAAACAACTGAGGATTCCATATTTTACTCTCAATCTACTTTTGAAAATACAAACAAAACATGACCGAGAACAAAAAATAACTTCTATAAAAAAAAATCTTTTCAACTTTCACATAATCCAATAAAAAATCTGCAGCCAGAATAGCTGAATCTTAGTTTAATTCATAACTAAAAAATATGGTGTTGTTTTTCATGCAAACCAAAAACTTGACTACAGAAATAGCAGCGTCGGCGCAAGGGAACAAAGCTTTTTTACTACAATATGGGGTTTCATATATGTTGGACGCACTTCCAGGAGTGGAAGCATCTCAAGAAAATGATGAAAGATCCGAAGTATAAATATAATATGTCCAAAACTATTTTGCATCTTGAATAGCACCACTCAAATACCTTTCAATTTCATATTATTCAAGAATTTTTCGGTCAATTTTCAGGTGCTAAAATCATCAATAATGCCACGGCAATTTTAAAATAGCTAGAAATTCACCGCCAGTAAAAACTGCTAAAGTTGCCATGTTTTTAATTACGATTGGGAACTTCAGAAATATTAGTTATTCAATAATTCATTGATTCTCAATTGAGTATTGGTAATATTCCTAATTAGCAATGAAAATTCAATAATTGTCTCAAAATATTCCCTTATGATTTGTGACTTATTGCTTGCATTAAATTTGTGTAAATAATGATTATATTAATTCACACTAGAGAACATTTGAATCGGCGAACGTAACAACACGGCACACAAGTTTTGGCGTGGTCTTGTCAGTTCTCAGCATTCAGCACAATGTTGCCAAGTTTCCAACATTTACATGATAGTTTGTTTGGAGAATAAGGAACATTTCGAGATGCTGGTTGCTCGAAAAAGTTGAGAATGAACTATAATATCATGGGTTCCTTTCACTATGTTTTATTCAACGACAGGGCACTAACATCTTTTTGATAACTTGATTATGATTGGTGAGTTGACAACCTTCCTTCATAAGTGGAAATGGAAGATTATCTGACCAATAGCAAAAGAGCATGAAAACTGCGTCAACATTTATTCGACTCATCACCAAAAGGCGGCCATGAAGGTTCGTTTGAAATAAGCTCTGAAATTCAACAATTTCGTATAGAGTGAGAAGTAGAGTGATTGAATGCCAATAATTCATCAAAGTCCACTCGCCCATTCACAGGGAGATATATTTTTCACCCTGAACTTTTCTGTGGTGCGCTGCTGGTGGATTCCAATAAAGCATTCATGGTTCATTTAGAATCTTTTTTCTCTATGGTACTTTTTCTATATTTACGACCGTTATTTAGAATGCATCCTAAAAATTATGTCATTTGTATTATCAACTATAGCTACGAACGATGACGTCACGATTACACAAACTAGAATAGATATGGCGCAACTCCTCTAGTTTATCTCTTGCCTTCAAACCCCTATCTTGCACTAGAGTTCCTAAATGTACTTGACACTGCTGTTTTGACGTTTTTTGTATATCAGAGTACGGACACTATGACAAGCACTGACAATCAGACATAACCACAAATAAATTGATGGAAAAAGCGGGAACTGACAGTACACGGACGTAGATGACATAAATAATATCAAAGGTTTGACAAATTGAGAGAATTAGGAGAAAGATGCGAGTTTGTGCAGTTTCCAGCTGTGAGAACACGGGAAATCAATTCACTCTATACGAATTTCCATCGGATAACGTAATTCTACAAAAATGGAAACAGAATATGATGCGGCCGGCATGGAATATAGGTTCAGGCCACAAAATTTGCGAGGTATTCAAATTTCTTGGTAGGATATAGAACATTTTTCAACGCATTTTTATCAGGTACATTTCAGAAGGGAAGATTTGATGTTGAAGAATAGGATCGCATTGAGAGAAAGAGCCGAACCCACAATTTATAAACTGAGCGAGTATGGAAAAAAACCTCATTCCAATTTCGAACCAACAAGAAACTTGCAGATGATGAAATTTATTCCGAACATATTTTGAGAGATAAAGGCATGAGAGGATCCTTTATCTAAGCGAAAAACATATTCTTGTCCTCGTCTGGCAAAACATATGATTTGCTACAAAATCGTTTGTGGTTATGTTTGATTGTCACTGCTTGACTAATGTCCGTACTCTAATATGTACAAAAAACGTCAAAACAGCAGTGTCAAGTACATTTAGAAACTCTACCTTGCCAGGGCCGGCTCTACAGATTTATCTGCTAGTGTGCAAATCCCAGAGTAGCGCCCCTATTGGAGTTTATTGAATTAACAAACTGAAAGCTGATGCAATAAAATATAAAATCAAACTATTTGCTGTTCTCAACAGTTTTGTTTCCAAAAAAGAATACGTATATGTATAATGAAAATTCAATTTAACAAATCATTAACATAACTAGAAATAAAAATGAATTCTGAAATAAACAACCAGAGCCGAGAACAAACTCTAGAAATAAATTCATATTTTATCAACAGAGAGTATTCGAGTGAGTAATAGGTAATAAAATGAACACACAAGGAGAAACATTGCAATTCACAAAAATGGCACTTTACGGGCTTTCTGAGTAGCAAAATCTTTAATTAAATCGCTTATATTCAAAGTAGGTATCCAATAAGTTTGATTCTATTGATGTAATCGCTGAACTAGACAATTTTTCTTGGGACATTGTCGACCTCAAATAATTTTTCATTATCTTCAATTTCGGAAAATTTCTTTCTCCTGTTGCAACAGATTCTGGCAGTGTTAGCAAAATTCTCAAAGCTACCGAGAAATTTGGAAACAAATAAACTAAATTATTTGTGAAGATATATTCTAACATAGTGTGAGGATCATTATTTGTAATATTTTCTTTGAAATAATTTTGTAGAGTGATAATTTCTTCGTAAAGTTCTAGACCGTCATTATCTGGATTCTCTTGATTTGATTCATGTCGACTAATTTATTGTGGAGCTACTTACGAAGTTTTAATAATTCTTCACGTGATATTTTAAGAAATTCAAATAAAAAACCAAATTCATCATTATAGTTCCTCAGATTTTCGAATCTTTCTTCGAGGGACGTTATGGTTTGATCTTTTACTTGCAAATTAAAGTTGATTTTGAATTGTTCTTCAGGATCAACCGGTGTCTCATCTTCATGTTCGTAACTGAATTGTTTTGTTTTTTTTTCTACGGCGGATTGTTTATATGAAAGTAGGAATTTTTCTATCGTGTTCCCTCACGTTTGGCGCCCCTTTATGGCCTGATGGTGTGCTGTGCACACCTCGCACACCCGCTAGAGGCGGCCCTGTACCTTGCACCACTACTTGAAAAACGTTCAGTACATCAAATTGGATACCTACCTAGATATCCGCTTCTTCTTTCAAGAGAAGAAACCAGCAAATAAGACTTTTTAAAAGCAGCGTGTATATACATTATTGTTCCACTCAGCTCATTGATTAAAAATCAGTGAATAAGTTCTCAGAAAAATAAACAAAAAAAAAAATCAAAAACTAACCATCATTTCCTTGCAATAACTCATGTGGCACAGGCACACTAATATCAAACAATGATGGTATCCCACCTTTAGTATCCTGTTTATTGTCCACACCGTGTTGCTCTTGCAGTTTACTCTGAGTGGTATTTATCATATTCAGAGCCTCTTCTCGACTCATCCTCGGGAATCCCCCCAATATATCTCGAGGAGCGGTTTCGATGTGCTTGAAAAGAATCTGCTTCAAACCTGAAAATTATTTTCTTCGTCAGCCGTCTGAATCTTCGAGAAAAATGCGATACTTATTTGCGAATTGACTCTGCTGTTACTTGATGGAAATCCAGAGACGGAAAAAACTTCACAAACGATGAAATTTCAACAAAACACAACGTTTCTCAACTCAGTAGGTAGATTTCTAAATCTTTTGTTGGCCAGACAATGGAAACAAAGTGGAAAACCTTCACAGGGCATTTTTTTGACTTGAAAACTCGATAACTAAGCGGTTTTTTGTACATTCAGTAATATTTCTTCATTTGACAAAACATATTTTTTTAGGACATAGGACAAAATAGTTTTGTATTATACAAGGGAAAAAAGTAGTAGATTTTAGCTGCACGTTGTAGGTTGTGTTGTCTCCCGACGCGTAGCGGAGGGAGACAAAAAACCGTGAGCTAAAATCTAATATTTTTCCCGTGTATCATACACTATTTTTTTCTGTGACAGAAGAAAGGACGAATCAATATTGAGAAGATATTACATTATTTTGAAATATGAAAATTATCGACGTGAAATTTTAAGTTTTCAACAGTGGGGACACCTGTAACCAAATATCTGATGTCACTTCTGTCAGTCTAATTCTGTGATTTGATTTCAGAAAATTGCGAATTTAGTGGTTGTTTAGTAATATACGTAACCGCGAAGTCGAATGGAAGATAAAAGGACTTGCAGTTATTTCTCGGAGACGGTATTATTGACTCATTTTTCGGAACTATAGCACAACAATAAAAGCCATCAACAGTGTATATATATGTGGTATATATTCGGGAAAAAAGTACTCACTTTTTTCCCACGGGAAAAAAGTAATTTATGAAAACTGACATTTTATAACCTGCCAACAGAAAAAAATATATTTTTTTTAGGACATAGAACTATTCAACAGTTTTTGATCTTAGAGAAATACAATAATTTTGATAGGGCGCCGATTTTATTCCCATTTGACATTTGACACCTCTGTGGCCAACCTCACAATATGAAATGTCTAACTTCTGAAAATATGATCAATTTTAAAGGTTTGTCAAACTGAAAAAAAAAATGTAAAAAATAATGAGATGCCAGTTTGAGTAATTTCTAACTGCAAAAATACTGGGGAATCCAAATTACGCAACACTAATTTCGTTATCAGTTATCATTATCATTAACCGCATAATTATATCATTAATGATGCGGTTTTCTTGGGATTCTGTTTATATGATTGTATGTTAGATCAATGGAGTATTTGGCATAGTGAAAATGTTTATTCACCATCGACGTGCGATGTTGAGGGGTGTAAATAAGGTATTCATTTGGGAAAAGGGTATGATGAAATTCTGCGTGATATTAGGGAGTTAAAGCCAATACAAAAACTTGCAATTACGTATGGACGTAAACGTGAATAGAAATACGTACGTATTCAATGAAAAGTAGCGTTAAAGCTACCGTATGGGACGTGCATGTTTTACGTACATACGAGATACAAGACCAGACTCATTTCAACCCTATTTTTCTTTTTCATTCAAATGTTTTGATTTGTTAGTCTTCGCTTGATTTGATATTGTTCCAGTGTTGTTGCTGCAAACCCCTGTTGCAAAATGGAAGAGATTTTGATATTCGAAGCTACAAATGATAGCGATGCTAGTAGTTATGATGACCTATAGATGATATGTTCATCTTCCATGTACTGAATGAGAACGACAATTTAGGTAATCGAAGGGAAATATATAGAGATATCAATTTAATCAATTTATTTGAAATAGATTGTGAAAATTTATTTCGATTTGCGAAAAATGGCATTCCAAGATTAGCTAGAGCCCTCAACGGCCCGTGTCTTTGTAGGGATTATGGCCTACAACTTCCCTTGCGAGATGCGAATCATCTTTCAAGGAAAAGAGAATTCTTTTATTTGAATTGTCCATGATTTCTTCGAAGCACAACATAAGAACAGAGCGCAATAAAAAATAAATGTGATATCATGTGATAAAAGTGAGGTTAAAGCAAAAACCGAATAGTTATCGTTTGTATTCGCTTAGGTAGGTAGGTAGGTAACGTTTTCGGTTCAATACGATTTGGGTTTAGCGCCAGCGTATCAAGACGTAAACATACGTCAGACGTATCTTCTGGCGTAGGAAATTCGCATACTGCGCATGCTTAAGGCGGATTTAGCGAATGCACAAGCACAATGTGTAACTTTAATGTGTAATGCATAAAAGTTAAAAATTGTGAACTTCAGGGTTATGTATTATGAGATGTTATGCACTGTGCACTAGAACTTTTGAGTTGGATAAATCATCTCATATGGACTACAGTGTTTAACTTTTATGAATTATACATTAAAATTACAGTTATGAAATGAATTGTGTTTGAGCGCCCGCTAAATCCGCCTTTAGATGTCAAATTCTACGTTTACGCTTACGCATTCTGCATTGCTTTAACTCCCTATTGAAGAGGTCCAATCCTTTTATTGCTACGAAACTAAAATGAAAAACTGGATATTAGTCTCTTCAAGGAGTTTATTTGCTTCTCTGGTTAATATTTAATATCTATTTATATGAACTTTGAAACAGTATTGAATTGTTCTCATCCCCAAAGATTGAATGAAAAACAATACATTTTTATTTATAAATTACTTGTCTCGAATTAATCAATTCATTCAATAACCATAACTATTATTTTATATATTTTACATCAAGTTATACTTCGTAAGGTTTTCTTTGTTTATTCAATACCAATATGTATACTTTTAATTTGTATTACGTGAACATTTTGAATAAATTTTTTCATTATTATTTATTATTATCTCATATTATCATAGCAAGCAGATAACCAATGATTCCCAAACATGCGAGAGCATTATTTTCACTGCCATTTTGTGGAGATATCATAGTTTGTAAAGTTATTTCCAACAAAGATTCATTTTTTGAAGAATTTTTATGTTATATACCTCACAATAAATTATATTTCGTAAGGTTTTCTTTGTTTATTCAATACCAATATGTATACTTTTAATTCATATTATGTCAACATTTTGAATAAACTTTATTATTATTATTTATTATTATCTCATAGCACGCAGATAACCAATAATTCCCAAACATGCGAGAGCATTATTATCACTGCCATTTTGTGGAGATTTCATAGTTTGTGAAGTTATTCCCAGCAATGATTTGTTTGTCTGAATAATTTTTATTTTATCTACCTTACAACAAGTTTTACTTCCTAAGGTTTTCTTTGTTTATTCAATACCAATATGTATACGTTTTATTGATATTATGTCAACATTTTGAATAAACTTTATTATTATTATTTATTATTATCTCATATTATCATAACAGGCAGAAATCCAATGATTCCCAAATACGCGAGAGCATTATCATCACTGCCATTTTGTGGAAATTTCATAGTTTGTGAAGTTATTCCCAGCAAAGATTCATTTTCTGATTCAAGCTGGTTTGGAGGGATTTTCGGGTAATGGAACACCATAACGTATCAATCGAAGAAATTCCTTACCGTCCGAAAGTGGTTTGCCATGGGCAAATTTGCAATCATCTCCTTGTGCACATTTCAAACCTGTATGGTAAAACTTACAAGGAAATTCAGAATGCATATATGAACATTTGTCACCTTTAGCACAACAATCCATCAAGTAGAACTTGCACAGTTCTAATTTCATTGGAGGAACTGCTTCATGTGAGTAGGGACAGTCATCCTGAAAAAAGTTTGATTCAAAATTAAAAAGCTCAAATCAAATCAATGACGTCTGCTTACCTTTTGGCATTTTCCTTGCAAATAAAAAACACAAACACCCTGCGAATCTCTCAAGGCTGACAGATCATTCTTTCTATCCCATTCTTTGTCCTTATTCTTTCTATCCCTTCTTTGTTCTCTGTTTCTTCTGCCTTTCTTGTTTTCTCTCCTTTTCACTCTCTCTTCAATTTTGTTGGTATCTACAGAACATTCTGATTCATGACTTTCCTCTGACTGCATTTGTAACATATGCTCTCCTTTGTCTTCAAATCTCTTATCAGGACTTAATCTTCCTCGCATATTCAACATCTCATTTTCATCTATTTCGGATTTGGGAGATTCAAAACGTCGTTGTTTATTCTGAAAAATAGAGTTCAATCCTATACTATCATCATTATTCATAGGAACAATTTAATACACCTATAAATAAATAATCTGCTCAATAGTCAAAACATAAAATCAAATTCTTTTAGAGAATATATTATGGCTTTTATAATTTTGGAAAAATTGCAGGGCTTTGATGATCATCCCGCAGAATCTCGTTCTTGAGAAACTGGGCCGATATTTGGTAGAAATTTCAAATTTCATACAAACGCATGTTTATTCGTACTCTGATCTAAAAAGGTATGAAGATATCCATGGACGTGTCTTTTTCACAAGTTGCATGAAACTATGTAAGAAGTACTTATCTAAATTAAAGTTAATTTTAAATAAAGTATAAAACTGTCTGTCTCAAGATCACGTGGAGGTTTTCATATTAATATCTTCTGAAATAGTTATTTATGTATCAAGGGCGTAATGTAGGCGTCAGCCCAGGCCATTATACGCCAAAAAATGCCAAAACTGAAGCGTGAAATGTCTTGTTTCATTGTGACAATTTAATTTATGTACAGAATATCCCGTAAGCCGCTGTGATTTTGTCATTATGACAGCGAAAAAATGTTACTCTAACTTTTCCAGCGATAGAACGGAAATTCAACATTTGAATGCATGACAACCGAAACTGTAAACAAATCTTTGATGGTAATTTTGTCCCAAACTTGCTTTGTCAGAAAAGTATCTAATCTGTGGAAAGCGATTTGGAGTCTTCCAGTGGAGAAATTGAAACACCATCAACAATAATGTGATTTACGTATTCATCAAATTGTGTTACCGAATAACACTCAAACATTTTTTAGGTCGAAGTAAACTTGGCATTAAAATTCGAATTTTTTGTTGCAATTAGGAAATTTAAATTTTCAGGTGAATATGAAATCGTTTTTTCCACCTTTATTATACCCTCTAACAAACCTAACTATCAATTTGAAGGCATTTGACCTTGGACAACAAAATTTTTTGCCTACGGCGCTTTTTGCTTTATATCACCCCCGTGGCACGAATTATCCCCTCCCCCCTATGGAACAAAGCTGATGTATACGCGCCTGTTGTTCATTAGTTTTTTATATTTTGTTTATTGTTCTTGGTATCAAAGTAGTGTATTTATTCTGTTTCATTTATCTTTTATAAAAATCCGTTTTAGTTTTGAAAATGTGAAATCTCCAACAAAACAACTACTCGACGAAGTCTGGATATTTTTGATGGTGAATATTCTAACTTTATTGCATATATTAAACAGTCGACCTTGACAATTGGGAAAACAAAAACGCCTGCAACCGTTACATCGGTGGTAACGCCTGCAACGCACACTTTTTGACAGGTAAATTGTCCTGCTTTGGAAAATACGCCCGGCCCGTTTTGTACCTTCAGTCCGGCCCTGTTGAGAAAAGCAATAATAATATCCACAGGTTCAATAGGCAAAGAAAGGAATATACAGAAACTGAAAAAAAATTAAAATCGGTTGAAGCAGTCGAAAATTATGAAATTGAGCAGTTTAGTTGCAGATGAAATAACATTATTTGAAAACGAATTTTCATACCCTATTATCTTTATCGTTCTTCTTCCTCTTTTTCCCTCTCTTTACTTCGGTTATTATGTCTTTTTCTTTGTCTTTTTCTTCCCCTCCACTACTTGTTAAAGCAGCAGCCTCTTTCTCTTTTTTGTTGAGAATAGTAGCTAGAGTTTTCTCAATTTTCTTTGCAAAATCATCATCTACAAAAGAAAAGCCGTTGAAAATTCCAACCCTTCAACATATTTGAAGATTATGATCGTCTTACCGGGGTCCAAAACAACATCTTTAGGCCGTATTTTTTCCCATTTCTTTCTTTGCATTTCTTCCCTCTTCCTCAAATGGAGAATACTCCTCTCAGCTTCAGTCATGTGTTTCTTTCCTTTTTCGTCATGTTTCCTTTTATCAGGCTTGATATCTTTTTCTTTTCGTTTCTCTTTTTCGGTGATTATTTCCACCGGCATTTTAATGACGGCAGGGACAGCGATGGGAGGTGGTACTTCCAGTGGGGGTTCTTGAATGTCTGAGGGTACTTCTTCTCCATCATCTTCAATTTCTCCATCTTCTAAATCTTGTTCTTCCTCAGTTTTTTGTTGGGGTTCTTCTTGAGAACAGTTGCTATAACAATTTGAATTCAGAATATGATTTTTTTATGGAAACGAGTAGTTAAATTACACGAAATATCCAAACAGTCTCTAGCATGGGTATTTCATTATTGGGTCATTTTATTGAAACCGGTCAATAGTAACATGAGATCGGATTAGCGATAATACTTTTCGCATGAATTCTACATGTCACAATATGGAAAAATACGAAGACAATTTGAAATTATTTTCCTGATATGGGAAATATTAGGATGACTACTGATTTTGTTGATTTATTGAATTTACCCACGCCTTTGCATGAATACTTATTTATTCCAAAACTAAATGTTATATTACCCATATTCAAATCGTCATGGATAAAGATAGGTATATCAGAATGGACGAAATAAGAAAGAAAGTTCTGTACCAATAAAGTTTCATGATTTTGATATATTCCTTTGTATTCCTTCGCGTATTATTCGTATCACATTATACATTCTACATGTTTCTCAAAATAATTTGACAGGATATAAAATTTTGCCGTCAACGTATAATTTGAAGTTACTTATTTTATTGAGACTAATTTCATGAATGTCAATCGCCTCTGTTGTTGTTATTCCTAACACCTCCCTGGCAAACAATTGTTTACTGGGCGTCGTGAAATAAACTTTTTCAGCCTGACATACTAACCATTTTCTTGGTGTTTTGAACACCTGTTGAGTCAAATGTCTAATGAAATTCACAATAATGATATTAAGAATCATCAATTCCGGATGCAAATTCAAGAGATACTATGGGAACTTGTTCTCGAATTAAGAAATTGAAAATGATCATTGTTGCTTACTTATTTATACAGGGTGGCATTGAAATAAGTGCAAATATTTCAAACACTGTACTATCGAATGGCACATATGAAAAGAATTTAGGGTTCAAAATAAAATTTGAGGTTAGACCCGTTTTTCCACCCAAAGTTCTACACTGTAGCAAATCTGACGTCACCTCTGTTCAAATTTCCATGCGGTAGGCACAATAACGCGGAGTTCAATTTTCGGGATGAAATTTCTCGTTAATTAGAAGGATTAGAAAAAATCTGATATCATGGGAATATTCCTTATACTGTATCATATTAATGTGCTGAATATGTGCACTTATTTCAAAAACACCTTGTATATTTACGACTGAATAGTTCCGAGGAAAAGTCTAGGAGTCCCAAATACAAGGTGTTGAGACAATAATGATACAAGAGATATTTGAAAAAAACTAATTATTTTGTTGAATTTCAACACCCTGTACATCAGAAATAAAGCGTCTTCGAACCTATGTTAATATAATATGAGGATTGTTTCTTACAATCATCCGATATTGTAATGTAAAATGTATTTATGAGTTTTGATACATTTTCAATTGAAGTTTGAAATTGTTTTGTTCTTCATCCTAGTGGGAAAATAATAATAATATGATAGGTACATAGATTGTTGAGCTATCGTACATTGAAATCTACATGCTAAAGCTACCTTGTATTATGATTATGAGTTTCGTGTAATATATGAGTCACTAAAAAAATTTGAAGGACGAAAATGTTGTATTTTTAGTGATAATTGATGAAAATCGCAAAAACTACAGAGGGATATTTTTTGCAAAAAAACAACCGACTTGCTCGCTGAGTACGGCCCTGGAAACACTGGATCGAATCTAAATGGTTCAGTAGATGTCTAATGATTGTTTGAATTAACCGTAAAACATATATTGAAATCGGCTCATTATCACTATGATAATTATTTCATTTGTCCATTCCTCCAAATATTTCATTGGGATGAAATAACTCGTGAAATTATATCAGCCCTTTTGTATCAAATGAGGCAGCTATTCCGAATTTCACGTTCTTCCAGAATTTCATCAATTGGGTACATACTGACTTCGACATAGGTATAATTTTAGTTCGCTTAAATGAACTTTTTTCATGAAATATAAACAATAAACAAGGGATAGTTTCTTGCATTTAATATACAGCGTGTCTCCAAACGGCCCCTCCTCTACATCTCAGCTATCAGTCGTGCGATCTTCACCAAATTTGTATCGGTATGAATCATCAATATGACCAGTTCTTCAAAGACGAACATCATTTTAGACAGTGCCGTGCATTTTTATTGAAATGAATAGGGGTCAGTTTTTATTCAATCATATTAGGCATTTTTTCACAGGAAAACTGACCTCATAATATTGTTCTTCATGGTTTCAAACCCACACATGTGGATTTTCATAAGAAGCCTATGAAGGGTTTCAGAAAAACAGGCACATCTAAACAGCATTTTTCCGAACGTAATAATTATTTACTCGGAAACGGCGAGTTCAACATAAAAAAGTATAACTCGTTTTTCCTTCCAAATCATTATTTTCCACCTACCGGAGCCATTGAACTTTCCAAAATTCGTAGTTGATCTGAAATCACTATTTATTCGAGAGTGAAAATGATAAAAATGAAGCCAATCCTGTTAATTCGGAATTAGGTGATTTTTCGCATATGGAGGTTTGGAAGCATGAGGAACAATAATATGAGGTTAGATTCTCTGTAAAAAAATGCCTGATATGATTTTATGAAAAATCGACCCATATTTAGTTCAATAAAAACGCACGGTACTGCCCAAAATAATGTGCATCTCTGTAAAACTGAGCATATTGATGGTTATTCATACCACACCAAAGTTTGGTGGAATCGCATGACTAATAACTGAGATATAGAGGGGGGGGGCGTTTAATATGAGACGCTGTATGCACGTAAGGATTTCAAACTCTACTGTTTTTTTTTTCGTATTTCTGAAATCATTATTATATTATTCGTAAGGCCAAACTCGTTTGGAATATAGGGCATTCCAATACTTGTAGAATATACCTAATATTTTTTCTACTCCCGTATTACTACAATACCTACGCGAATCTGTTACCGATTTCTCAATATTGTTCATTTTAACATGGGTTATCTTTATGAAACACATGATAATAGTCAATGAAACATGTACTTTTCATTATGAAATCAATTTTCGTCCATAGAAACACGTACTTTGGTATATAATCAAGTGGTCAATTATTTTTTATACATACATTTGAGTTGTTTGACGTCTAATATCAATTGACGTTCAATCACGACGCGTCAAAAGTACAGGCAATTAATTCATGGACTGGATATGATGAAATTTGTTGAAATATAAATAGTAATAAGTGAATTTGTGTTTCTATTTCATTATATAGGGTGTTTCAAAATTCAATATCAAAATTTCAGGGACTTTTTGTTCAGGTCAAAATAAGACTTTTTTTCTATATACATATTTGTCCGCAAACGCTTCGTTGCCGATTTACAAAGTGTTAAAGTTACAAGATTCTCTCATTTTCCAGCAACCTTTTTTATATAATGTCATGTTGTTATTTTTCTTATTCTTCAGCCCCTGAAATCTTGATACTGAATTTTGAAACACCCTGTATATTGATTCTATCTTGAATTGGCTATTAATACACTCGGCTCGTATCGTAAGTTACCTCGTATTCTATCATTACATGGTTGTTGCATACAATAATATTTTAGGACTGGTGATAGATATATTTACGAAATCGTATCATAATGATTCATATTTCGATATGAGATAGATAATTTGTCAAACGATGCAAACCATATTATCCTCTTCCCTTACTACGCCACTGGATTTAGCTAGCGCACGTGTAACATGGTTTTTCGGCAACCGTCCGGGAAGTGCTCACTTTCCGGACGCTTTTTTTTGAGAAAGTAGCATTTTTCCGGCCTAGTCCGGGAAGTACGTACTTCCCGGACTAGGGAAGTATCACATCGTTGTTGTTGCTGTAATTTTGAAAATCTTGGTAGATATGGTTTTGATAAATGCAGAAGATAATTACAATGGCAGCGAAACAACCGCTGACAGCTATTTGACATTAAATTAGAATTAGTTGACATTTTGATTTTTGAAAGTTTGGTTGCAATTATCGTATTAAACTATCGAAAGCAGCTGCGATAGTGAGTTTGAAAATGTCCATACGAAATTTCCAATGTAACAGTTAGTAGGTATAGGAATTCTGTTCAAATTTCAGTATTTGATACAAATGAGAATTAATAATGAAGAAATTGTAATCTACAAAGAAATTTAACATAGAAAATTGTCTCATTGATTTGTTAGTCTACATGGTTGCCGAAAAAATAGTGTACGCAACACGTCCAAGATCAGTTTTTTTGGACTCGCAGACTTCCATGACTCGCCTACTTCTTGGCCTACATTGTGTCCACCTTAAGGACTTACCACCCCTGTAAAATCGTTATTATCCGACCAATTTCAAAAAACATTTTTTGTTGGATAGGTATTTGAAATGCCCCATCCAACGAGAGAGTGATCTAATTCTTGGACTGTTATCGTGGCCAACTGCGACAAATTTCAATGACCCATATTCCAGAAAGTACTAATAGGGATTTTTTTTCACGAAACTTGATGATGGATTCTGAATCAGTAGGTACAGGGTGATTCACCATAATTGTCCCCCCCCCCTCTAGCTCACTTATTTTTGAACCGATTTAAAAATTTGAAAAATAATCTGAAATGATTTTTCAGAAATTTTTTCCCGGTGCATCAGAAAATACAGGGTGCTCGGAACAAACGATCTACAGAGTACTACTTGAATTTTTTCAAATGGAACACCCTGTATGCCATTGTCTTTTTAGATTCTTCCTGAAGAGCTGATTTCATCAATATATTACACTTGGGGTCTAGCGAGAATGATTACAGATAGGGTGTTCAAAAATCGAGATTTTTCAACTTTAGGATTTTTTGTGTCAAAACTATTCATCATTGGTCAAAACGGCTTTCATGTCCCTATCTCAACTTTTGATTTACTATCTACTGACATTTAATTGGAACATTTACAGGGTGGACCAAGATTCATAATTCTGATCACCCTGTATATGTTCCAATTATTGAATGTCAGTAGATAGTGGATCAAAAGTGAAGGCATGACATTGACGTTTTGACTGATGATGAA